AACCAGTTAGGTAAATTCATAATTTGTTACTAATGCTATTCAGGTGTTGAAAGATTGGTCCCAAAAAGAATTATCCAAGAGTTCGTTCACCTATTCGCACTAGAGCTCTTGCAAGGAAAATGGCTGACGAAGCTAATTTAGAGAAGGCAGCTTTGGATAATCAAGTTGAAAATATGGAAAATACTTTGAAGGAATTGATGGCTTCCTTTCAATCTCTTCAAGCAACCTTAGTCACAAGGGCACCTTTGACAACAAATCCTTTATTTGAAGGAAATGTTCCGGTGGCAAATCTCCCTATGGCCACATCTGCTTTAACTCTTGGGAAAGAGCCTATGTCATCTGGCCCTCCTAATCCAATTATTGGTGGAACTTCTGGGACAAAACCATTTGTTCTAAATGCTGGTGTTGCTATAGTTCAGTCTAATGGTCAAGAAGAGATTCAAGTTGTCAAGTCAATCACAGAGGATGAAGACAAGGCAATTAAAGCGAAGAGTTGATGGAGGAAACACTAAAATCGATGCAAGGTGTCCAAACCAATAAACCGGTTGACATCTCATCTTTGTGCTTTTTCCCAAACATTCAACTGCCCCATAAGTTTAAATTGCCTGAGTTTGATAAGTACAATGGAACTTGTTGTCCTTATGCTCACTTGACAATCTATTGTAGGAAGATGGCTCCTTATGCCAATGATGAGAAGCTAATGATACATTACTTTCAGGACAGTCTGACAGGTCCTGCAGATGCTTGGTTCTCTACTATAGACAAAAGTAAGGTCAAAAGTTGGCATGATTTGACTTACAATTTTATGAAGCAGTACGAATACAATACATCACTAGCTCCTAGTAGAGAGGATCTTCAAAAGACAGAAAAGAAACCAAGTGAGAGCTTTAAGGAATTTGCACAGAGATGGCGTGGATTGGCTGCTCGAGTTCAACCTCCACTAACTGACCATGAATTGAGTAGTTTATTCATCAAGTCAACCAAAGGGCCTTATCGTGAGAAGTTAATAACTTGTGTGAATTACACTTTTGCTCAGTTGGTTGTTGTGGGAGAACAAGTGGAGGATGGAATCAAGTCTGGAATTATCATGGATTATCAAGCAATGAAGAGTCTCCTTGAACAATACCAAAATGGTAGTTCAGGGGCTTCTAGTTCAAGGAAAGTAGGCCAAAATCAAAAGATGGAGAATGAGAATGGCACTATAAGCTCAGTTTATGAGGCATATGGAAGAAATAATCAGTCACATGGGTAGTTCAACAATCGGTTCCAAGCTCCAACTTATCAATCAACGACTTTTACAAGCCAACCAAGGACTGTTTACGCCTCTGGGGTTAATCGTCCACAACAAGTGAGACGACATTTTGACAAGCTTCCTCTATCATATACTGAGGTGTTTCGACAATTAGTAGAAGCAGGAATTGTTACTCCAGTACCTATGGTGTCGGTAAAACCACCATTTCCAGCATGGTACAACCCACAAGCAAGATGTGAATACCATAGTGGAGGTGTTGGACATGATCTTGAAAATTGTCTTGCTTTAAAGCACCGTGTCCAAGATTTGATAGATGCAAAGGAGTTACAGATTGCATCAGAACAAAAGGTTGTTGGTTCGAATATCACTAAAAACCCCCTACCAACACATGATAGTTCAACAATCAATATGATTGAGAAAGATTTTAAGGAAGGTCAAGAGGTGGCTGCAGTTACTTTCACCAATCAAGTTTCATCAACTCCTAGATAGCCTTTAATATTGAAGGGACCGATGCTTACAGTTCCACTCAAACAAGGTTGATCTTAGAACTGTTACTGATGAGGGCTTGAATAAGTGAACAATGGAGTTTTTTTTTCCTATTGCTATCATTTTGGAATGAAATGTGTCTATCATGTTGGTCTTTATTTGCATTTTCCAAACTCCCTTCATATTGCAATTTGAATCTTATGTTTTAATTCATGGTTCTTTGGTTCTTGATTTTATACTTCCACGAGTTGCACTGTTAGTGAACTTGAATTCAATGTTGAACCCCATAGAGAAAATCGAGGGTTGAGAAAAAGTAAGGGTTGAGAAGTGAGGGAGGTGATTGAAAGGAAGATAATGGATGAGTGGGAATGAGGGAAATGTGCAAAGAGAAATTAATCTCAAAATTTGAAACAAACATTCCTATGATAGAAAGCTTGAGAATTCTTATTCTTACCATTTGAAACCTTTGCCAAGGATTCATATTTAAGAATTGCCAAAAATTGCACCAAAAAAAAAACAAAAAGAAGATGACAAAAATGGTGGAATTTTTGCTAACTTTGTTAGGTGATTGTTATCATTTTGATGCCTATGGTAGAAGATCCAAGGACAGAAGGCCTTCCTTTTTGAAACTCTATTCCCTAAACCTTGAAAGATTATCCTTAGTTAAAGACTTTGAGCTTAGTTTCAATGAACATTCCTTCATGACCAATTCAACAACCTGGGAATATGGTTGCATGCCAAATTGGGGGGCAAATGTTCCTTCGATTGGAAGATTTGGTAAAATTATTTTGAAAGGAAGAAAGAAAGAAGCTCAAAAAAAAAAAAAAAAAAAAA